TTTGGATGAGAAAACAGATCCAGCCCATCAAAAAGAGGATACACCATTTTTGAGTGAATTCAGAACGTCAGATTTTGCTGAAATAGGACTCGCAGCCTGGGGATTTTCGCGTTAGGCTGAGGGCTGGCCCTGCCTCCCGATGAGTAAAAACCCATCTGTTTCCACCGGTGCAGGGGATCGCTGCTGAGTTTACACTGCCTGAGTTGTAGAACGTCATTTTTACTGTGAAATTAGACCGCGCAGTTTTTCTTTTCCAGAAAAAATATTCCTTCCGCACTCAGATGTGCAGGGCTTGCCTCTGCTTCGATGAGAAATCATCTGTTTGGCATCGGTGTCTTGCAATAGTTTGGCATCATTTTGGAATTGTAGAACGTCAGATTTTTGCTGAACAGACCTGCTGCCGATTTTTTCAGAAAAGTTGTTTCACATCAGTCAGGGTCAATTTGCCTCTTGACAAACCCATCCAGCCCACCGAAAAAATCTTCAGGGGATCGCTGGTAACAGGGCACACTTGAGAATTCAGCACGTCAGATTTTTGCTGAAACTGTGACCGCAGGCCTCAGGGGATACTCAGAAATGTTGTTCAGACGTCGTACAACCCTGTCTTGATGAGACACCCAGCTCACCAAAACTAGGGGATCAGCCAGGCAGCCTGGCTGAGTGAATCGCAACGTCGTGATTCCTGACTTAAATTCCGCACCCGCCGCGGGGCCTAGGGATTCAGGAGGCTCACCAGACGTCGAGGGCTGCACTCTGCTCCGGCTGAGAAAACTCCATCTACTCACCGATGTCTTTCAGGGATCGTGCCAGGTCATCTGGCGACCATCTGAGCGAATCTAGAACACAGATCTGCAGCCTAGGATTCTTTCAGAAAGGTCAGACGCCGAGCCAATCTGCCTTTGGATTTACAAAAACAGATCTGCCCCACCGGTGTACCTAGGGACAGCCACCAGCCTGGCCTGCTAGCCCCAGAACGTCGTGACCCTTGCCGTGAGTGTACCACCGTCGCGGCCTGTGGGATCTTTCGCAGGCCAATGACGCCGCCAGCCTGATGAGAAAACCCACTCAGCCTCCACCAAAATCTTCAGGACTCATCTGCGACCATTTCTTTGCTCGATCACTGCAGAACGTCAGATTTCTGTCCCTTCTGCTGACCCAGACCGTCGGCGGCCTGGACTCCTTTGCCGTTTCATCGCCGAGCCGCCACCCTGCTTCTGATGAAAACCCGGTCTGCTCCACCGAACACCTTCAGGGACAGGCCGGGCACACTCTGGGAGGAATTTCAGAACGTCAGATTGCTGAAGGATCACGGCGGCTAGAGCCTCAGGCCCAGACGTCGCGAGGCTACCCTGTTTCAATGAGAAACTCCATCCTTTTCCACCGAACAGGATTACTTGCACACCTGGCACCATTTCTTGGGAATTGCAGAACGTCGATTCCATGAAATTGTGACCGCAGTAGTTTAGGACCTACAGGTACACACGCCGATGGCCCTGGCTCGATGAGGTGACCCATCTGGTTTCCACCGGTAACCAGGGGATTGCCCGCAACAGCCTGGGCAATTATTTTTGAGTGAATTGTTATCAGATTCTTTGGCTGAAATTGTGACACTGGGCGTAAGACTTTAAGAAAAGTTATTACATGCCGAGGCCAATTTTCCCATCGTAATTCAGGGATCGCTGCACAGTCTGGGCAATTCCCAGCAGAACGTCAGATTAGCCTGCTGACCGCGGCTGGTTTAGTTTCAGAAAATGCCACCAGACGTCGAGGCTGGCCTGTTTCTGGATGAGAAAAATTGGTCCGCCCCACTCGTGTCTTCAGGGGATCGCTTGAGGTCAGGCTGACACTGAGTGGCCCAGAACGTCAGGAGCTTGCTGAATTGGCTAGTTTGGGATTTTTTCAGAAAAGTTGTTCAGACGTCGAGGCTAATTCTGTCTCCGATGAGAAACCCATCTAGTCCCACTCAAAAATCTCTGTGGGGATCGCTTAAGCAGTTTGGCACCATTTTGGAGTGAATTGTAGAACGTCAGATTTTTGCTGAAATTGTGACCGCGTCAAGATTTGGGATTCTTTCTCAGAAAATGCTCTTCCGTTGCCCAGCGGTCGAGGGCGAATCTGGCTCTCCGATGATGAAACTCCACCTGCCTCCACTGCAAACCTTTCTAGGGGATCGCTTGCAACAGTTTTTGGCACCATTTTTCAGTGAATTGCAGAACGTCGTTTCCTGCTGAAATTAGACCAGCGGCTGCCCAGATTCTTTCAGAGTTGCCCTGATGTCGAGGGCTACCAGCCGATGAGAAACTCCATCTGCCCCCATCGGTCTTCTGTAACGCTTGCAACAGTTTCAGTGAATTGTAGAACGTCAGATTTCTTGATGAAATGTGATCACAAGAGTTTCGGGACCCAGAAAACGCCCCAGACGCCGAAAGCCACCCTGCTCTGATGAAACCCATCCTTCCATCGAAGAAGGATGCCTGGGTAACAGCCTGGCACCATTTCAGAGAATAGAATCAGATTTTTTGGCTGAATAGATCTGCTTAGGGATTTTTTAGAAAAAAGTTAGCACACGTCGAGGGCCGACCGCTCTGATGAGAAAACCCATCTACCTCCACGGTGTCTCAGGATTGCCTGTAACTGGTCGCAATCTCACTTGAGTGAATTCCCAGAACGTCAGATCTCTCACCTGCCGGAGCCAGGACCGCTACGAGGACCCTAAAGAGTTATTCTTTCAGACGTCGAGGGCTCACCTTTATCTCCAATGAGAGGACCCATCTGCTCCCACCGAAAATCCTTTCAGGGGAAATGCCTGCAACAGCTCTGGCACCATTTTGAGGAATCTCCCAGAACGCCAGCATTCTTGCCGATTCAGGACCGCAGCGGGGCTAGATTTTTAAGAAGAGTTTGTTCAGACGCCTCCCACCCACCGAAACCCATCCAGCTCCACCGAAAACTTTCAGGGGATCGCTGCAACAGTTTCACCATTTACCCAGAACGTCAGATTGCTGAAACCAGACCGCTGGGCAGCCTGGGACTCAAAGCCACCAGATGCTCCAGGCCAACCACCCGATGAGCTCAAAGAAACCCATCTGTCCCACCGGTGCTCAGGGGATCAGTCAGCCTGGGCGACCACTGGGAGCTGAATTCAGCAACATCAGGGCCTGCTGAAATAGACCGCGCGCGTAGGGACTTAGAGTTCATCTAGACAGTCTGTCTGCTCCCTGATGAAACCATTTCCGCCGAAAAACCAGGGGATCGCTAAAACAGGCCACACACTTCAAGAGTGAATTAGAACGTCAGCTGGGGCTGAGACCAGACCGCGCGGTTCTTGATTTTTTCAGAAATAGTTTGAGACGTCGAAATGGTCGTTTCCAATGAAACCCATCTTTTTCCATCGGTCTCAGGGATTGTTTGCACAGCTCTGCCACATTTGAGTGAGTCTGAACGCCGCTGCTGAAATTGCATCGCGGCGCTGTACTCGTGTGCCACCCAGACGTCGAGCATGTTTCCGATGAAACCCATCACCCACCGGTACCTTTCAGGGACGCCTGCTGTGTCTGGGCACCAGCTTTGCGAATTTCAGAACGTCAGACTTGCTGAAACCACGCGCGGCTCTGACTTTCAGAAAGAACCAGAGGTCTGAGGTTGGACTTGCCTTCCGATGAGAGGCCTGTACTCATCGAAAAGGTCCAGGAGGTCAATAGCTTCGGCACATTTCTTGAAGGCCCCAGAACGTCAGATTTTTGCTGAAACCAGACCGCAGCATTTAGATTTTCAGAAAAGTCTGTTCAGACGCCGAGGGCCACTCCTTTTCCGATGAGAAAACCCAGCCCAGCTCACCAAAACAGCTCCAGGGGGAAACGTTTGAAACAGCTTAAGACCACTCTGAGCACCCAGAACGTCAGAGCTTGCTGAACAGACGCGTGTTTAGGGGGATCTAAGAGGTTGTTCAGACTTTAGGCCAATTCCAGCTTCTATGCTAAAAACCCAGCTCATTCAAAAATCTTCAGGGATTAAAGTGCAACAGCTTGGCAATCTTTTAAGTGAATTTAGAACGTCAGATTTCTTGTGCCAGGTCTGAGATCAGCTGGGCCAGAGGTCACTCTGCGACCTGCCTCCGAAAGGCCACTGTTCTCCACCGAAAAACTAGGGATCGTGGGTGCAACAGTCTATAACCATTTGAGCTGAATTCAGAACGCCAGACTCTTGGCCGAGGTTGTGACCGCTGCTAAGCAGGCCTTCAGAAAATGTCACCAGACGTCGAGGGCTGGTCTCGCTCGAATCAGTGATCTGTACTCAGCCTCGTGATCGCTGCAAGCTACACCACTCCAGAACGTCAGATTTGCTGACTGTGACCGCTGCATGTAATAGGGATTTTCAGAATGTTCAGACTCAGACGCAATCTGTCTTTCGACAAACTCCATCTGTCTCAACTGTGCCTCCAGGGATTAAAAACAGCCTGCCCATCTTTTGCTGAACGTCAGCACTTTTGCCTGAGTTCGTGACGCACGCCGAGGACCCGGTGTTACTGAGACAGTCGAGGCCAACCTGTTTGACGAGAAAAACCCATCTGGCTCACCAAAATACCAGGGACAGGCCTGCACACACCATTTTTGAGTGAATCTGGGAACGTCAGATCTTGTCGTGACCAGACCGCGGTTTCAGGGGATTTTTTTCAGAGCTGTTCAGACATCGAGGGCTAATTCTGTGCCCCTGATGAGAAAACCCATCCAGCCTCCACCAAAAATCTTCAGATCGTTTGCAATATTTTAGCACCATTTTGGTAAATTCCAGAACGTCAGATTTTTTGCTGAAACTCGCAATCTCAGCGCCAGGATCCCAAAATTCTGTTCAGACTGACCCCAATTCTCTGCCTCGATGATTGTGACCCACTGTCCCGGCCTGTAAATTCCCAGGATTAAAAACAGCTTCTCGGCCAACCTTTTATGAATTTATCTCAGGATTTCTTGCCAGCTCAGATCGCGCGTCTCACCGATCTTCAGATTACAGACAGCCGAGGGCGAATCATGCTCCGACTGAGCAACATCCAGCTCGGACCAAAAACTCAGGGGATCGTGCGCATCAGGCCTGGCACCACTGAACAACTCAAGACTTGCCGGAAACCAGACCGCGCGCTAGGGATCCAGAAAGTATTTCGCACCTCAGATGCCGAGGCCAATCTCTGCCTCGATGAAATCCAGTCTGTTCCACGGTGTCTTCAAACGCGGCGCAGTCTGGTCTCATCTCTTGAGTGATTCCCGGGTGAACGTCGTATCTTTCTTGCTATTCAGGACTACAGCGTCTGTATGACTTTTCAGAAAGCCACTGTGACGCCGAGGCTCACTAGATCCGATGAGAAAGGATCTACTTCACCTGCACTCCAGGGGATCAGCCTGTAACACTAAGACCACGCCTGGAGCAACATGAACGTCAGGACTTTGTCGAAACAGACCGCTAGCGGGCTTGTAAGTTCCTTTTCAGAGTTAGTTTACGAGGCTGGTCTTGCTCGAACAGAGGCTCACATCTGGCCTCCCATCGGTGTCCCTCAGGGATCAGCCTGGGCAATAGCTCCTGGCACTATTTTTATACCGTAACGCCGAGCCTGCCAGGCTCTGCACCGCGGCTGCCTGTGACCTTGCTTCAGCCAGCCGAGGTCACCACTGATGAAAACTATTTTTTCCATCGAACTTTTCAGGGATCGCCGTTTGGCACCATTTGAGTGAATTGCAGAACGCCGAGCTGCCGAAACAGACTGCGCAGATTGTGCCGTTCAGACTCAGCCAACTTTTCCGATGAGAAAAACCCATTGTCACAGTGCCAGGGGATCGCTTGCACAAGTTGGCACCACCTGAGTGAATTCAGAACGTCAGATTATATCAGACCGCCTGGCGGGATTTTTTAAGAAAGCCAGCTGATGCTAAAAACCACGCTCTCACCTCAAAGGCCAGACAGTGCAACAGCTTCAAGCACCCTTAGTGAATCCCAGAACGTCAGATTTTTGCTGAAACAGATCACAGCGCTGATCGCCTTTTCTCAGAAAAGTTGCCTCAGATGGCGTGAGACTTGCTCGATGAGAAAACCCATAGCTTCAGCGAATAATAGCTGATTGCTAATATTTGGCACATTTTGAGTGAATTCAGAACATCGATTCTTGCTGAATCGCTAGCTTAGGGATTTTCAGAAAAAAGCCACCAGACGTCGAGGGCTGGCTCCTGCATTTCTGATGAGAAAAACAGATCTGCTCCCACCAGTATCTCTCTCTCTCTCTCTGCTTAGGGGCTGGCACCATGAATCAGAACGGCTGATTTTTGTTGAATAGACTACTTAAATTTTCATGTTGTACTCAGATGCCGAGGCTAATTCTGTTTTCAATGAGAAAACTAACTGTACTTCCACTGTACCTTCAGGTGCAACAGTCTGTCAAATTTTTGTAAATAGAACGTCAGATTTTTGCTGAAATTAAATCGGCCAACGCCAGAAAATGTGCCACAGACGCCGTGGCCAGCTCGATGAGAAACCCACCCAGCCTCCACCGAAAACCTTCAGGACAGGTGCACAGCTGCACCCTCTCCAGAACGTCAGATGGCTGAAATTGTGACCGCAGCGGCCCAGGACTTCAGAAAGAGCTCGCTACTCAGACGTCGAGGCTCGGGCTCCTGGCCTCCCGATGAGAAACCTGATCGAAAACCTCAGGGGACGTCTGCAATCGCCTGGGCAATCACTTTGAGTGAATCTCCAGAACGCCAGGACTTTTGGCTGAAACCAGACCACAAGCGGTTTAGGGATTTTCAGGTATTGTTCAGACGTCGGACGGCCAATTCTTCCGATGAGCTGTAAACCCATCTGCGCCCACCGGTGTCCTTTCAGGATCGCTATAACCCTGCTCTGGCTAATTACATTTTTTGAGTGAATTTCAGAACGGCCAGATTTCTGCTGCAGCCAGATCGGGTAGTCTGTGATTCCTTTTTGTGAAATGTTCAGACGCCGAGCCAATTCGCCTCTCTACGAGAGAAACCCATTCAGCCTTCACCGAAAACCTTTTCGAGGATAAGAACATTTTGAATTGCAGAACGCCAGATTTGCTGAAACCCAGCTGCGTTTCAGATTTTGGTAAATACGACGCTGGAGGCCACTGTTTTCCGATGAAACCCATCTGCTCAAAAAAGCCAGGGGACAGGCAACAGCTTAAGCACTTTTTTGAAGGAGTCTTAGAACGTCATTTTTGCTGAAATAGACGCGGTCGCGGTCTGTGATCTCCTTAAAATTACCCAGACTCACACCCAGCTGAGCCATAGGTAACCCATCTACTCAACCCAGCCAGGATTGCCTGCAACATCCAGAACGCCGCCTGCCTGGGACCGCGCGCCTGTGGACTCGTGCGAAACATATCGCTACTGTGACACGAGGGCCAATTCTGCTCGACAGAAACTCCATCTAGTCTCATCAAAACTTTCAAATCGCTGCACACAGGTCGGGCACTACTTTTAAGTACTCCTAGAACGTCAGCTTTGACACCATGCGGCCTAGGGGGGATTTTCAGAAAAAGTCAGCCTAGACGCAGAGGCCAATTTTCCGATGAGAAAATCATCTGGCCCCACGAGCCAGGGCTCGCTGCCTGGCCACCATTTATGAATAGAACGTCAGATTTTTGCCGAAATAGACTATTGGCCGCATGATTTTTTGTATTGTTTGATTGCCGAGGTCAATCTGCTTCAAACCCATCTGTGTCCTTTCAGGGACCTGCCCATCTGGCATCATTTTGAGGAATTGTAGAACGATTTTTGCTGAAATAGTGATCGACGGCGATGGATTTCTGTATTCAGCCAGATGCGCCGAGGGCCAATCTGTTTCTGATGAGAGTTATCTCAGGTTCACTCGTCTTTCAGATCGCTGCACATTTGAAGGAATTCCAGAACGTCACCTGGCTGAAATAGATCACAGCAAGTTTAGGGATTTTCAGAGTTGTTCAGAGGTCAGAGAAAGCTCCACCGAACCAGGTGCGGCCTGGCGACCATTTCTGAGTTGCCCCAGAACGTCAGACTTTTGCCGAAACCAGACCGTCGCTGCCTAGGGACTTTTCAGAAAAGGCCCGCTTGCACCCAGACGTCGAGGCCTATCCCAGCTCGAATGAGAGGTGACCTGTCTGTCTCCACCGGTTCCTTTCAGGATCGCTTGCACAGCCTAAGACCACTTGGTATCAACAAACGCCAGATTTCTGCCGTACCAGGACAGCGTGCTCTGTGATTTTTGCTTGTCAGGCTTCTGATATAAACCCACTATCAGTTTTTTCAGGATCAGTTGCAGGCCGGGCACACTTGGAGGAATTTCAGAACGTCAGATTGGCTGAAATTAGACTGCGCTGGCTCAGGGGACTTTTCAGAGTTGTTCAACACGAGGGCTAATTCAGCCAACCATCTGTTCCATCAAAAATCTTTCAGGGATCATTTGCTATAGCTCACTCTTGGGAGTGGTCAGAACGTCAGAGCTGAGTTCAGACCGCTTGTGATTTACAGAAAAAGATTCAGGATTCCTGGGCTGATGACGCAAACCCATCTCGTCCCACCGGGTGTCCCGGGGACAGGTAATAGCCTGGCACCATTTGAGCACCCAGAACGTCGGGATTTGCTGAGCTGCACCCAGCGCCGAGTGGGACCCATGTGCTGAGACGCCGAGGCTAACTTCAGCCTTTGATGAGAAACCATCTGTCTCCACTCAAAAACCTTTCAGGGGATCAACAGGCCTAAGACCATTTTTGTGAATTCAGAACGTCATTTTTGCTCAGGACTAAAGTGCCTGATCCCAAAAAGTTGTTCAGACTTCGATCTACCTCACTGATGACAATCCACTAGCCAATCCAAACCTCCAGGGGATCAGGGGTGCACTAAGCACCACCCAGAACGCCTGACTTTTGCTGAAATTCAGACCTGTGGTTTGGGGTATTTTCAGAAAGTTTGCTCAGACGCCGAGTGGCTGACTCACTCCGATGAGAGCCACATCTGTCCACCGGTAACTCTCAAATCTCTCTCTCTCGGTCAGCCTCGCACCAACAGTGAATTACTGGGAACTCACTTGCCGCCAGATCACAATAAGCTTGTGATCTTTCAGAAAAAAAAAGATCGCACTGCCGAGGCTAACTGGGAGCCGGGAGCAGAAACCCATCTAGCTTCATCGGTGCCCAGGATCACGGCACAGCCATCCCATCTCTTTGTAATTCCCAGAACGTCAGATTCTTTGCATTGACCGCTGCGCCTGTGATTTTCTGCCTGTCTCAGACGTCGAGGCTGGTCTCAGCCGGGATGGCAGGTGATCTGCGCCCACCAGGGATCACAAAGTTTGGCACCATTTTCTGAGTGAACTAGAACTCAGAGCTTTGCTGAAATAGGACCGCGCGGCTGTGACCCCAGAGTTGCCAGATCGCCGAGGCTGACCCTGCTCGAACAGAAACCCACCAGCCCCACGAGCCAGGACGCTTCTGGGCAACAGCCTGGGCACTATTTTGAAAGGAATTTACAGAGAACGTCAGACTTTTGCTGAAACCAGACTGCCGGCCTAGATTTCTTTAGAGTTGTCAGGCCACCCTGTTTCGGGATGAAAAACCCATCTCTTTCCACGGCCTTTCAGGGGACTGCTCGCACAGTTTCTGGCACCATTTGAGTGAATTGCAGAACGTCAGATTTTTGCTGAAATAGATCGCGCGGTCTAGGGGATTTTTCAGTGTTCAGACGCCGAGGGCCACCTCTTCCGATAAGAAAATTCCATCTGCCCACGTGTCATTGTATCTCTGGATCAGCCTGGGTAAATGTGCCTGGGTACTCATGCCTGGAGTGACCCAGAACGTCAGAGCTGGGCTGACCGCGTATCTAGATTCTTTTAATAGTGTTGTTCAGACTTGAGGGCTGACCCAGCTGATGCTAAAAACCCATCTGTTCTCACCAAAAATTCTTTTCAGGGGACAGTGCACAGTTTGGCACCCTTTTTAGTGAATTCCAGAACTCTTGGCTGAATTAGATCACAGCAAGCTTCAGGATTTTCAGAGGTGCTGTTCAGACTGGGAGATGCAATTTGCCGATGAGAAAACCATTGTTCTCCAGCTAACACCTTTCAGGACACTCGTTCTTGGCACCATTTTTGAAAGGAACAACAGATGGAGTCTCAGACCGCAAGCCGCATACCTTTCAGAAAAAGCCACCAGACTGTCGAGGGCCACTGTATTTCACTGAGAAAACATCTGT